TAGCATCTTGATATATGGAAAGTATTTCATCTAAGATTTCTTCTTATGATTATTATTAATATTGGGAGAAATAGGAAGGTAAAAGGCAGGAGAACTGGCCAAGTTCTGTTGCAAGAAAGTTTTACTTTTTCATTCTACTATGATAAAAATGATCTTCACTTTATTTGCATATAGTGCATCTTTAGCTTCCAATTCTGTGAATGTTTTCTTACTTATGTATGTAAGTATTACTTTAGAATATTCCAAGGGTTCATTCATAAAATCTTATGAATCACTTGAGTAGCCCTTAACAAATCTTATCCCTTTGTTGGAAGGAGTAATTTGGGTAATTAAATAGGTATGAATCATTTGCTAGCTACTTTATGAATAAAGATGGAAAAATAGAGAATGTGATCTTGTATAATTTAATGTTTGACTAAATAGGTATATATCATTTGCTAGCTACTTTATGAATAAAGAATGGCAAAATAAAAAAAAGGTAAAAAAAATGAGGCAAATTGACTTAACTGCTGGGATTATCTTTATATGTATTTTAGGAGACCTAGTTTCCACTTTTCCAGTGAGGACTCTCAGTAGTCTGACACAAAAACAGACCACAAATAGGAATATACTCTAACAATTACCATGGTAGGGTGCAACTAATCAAAGACATTATTGCCAATTAAAATCTCTTCAGTGTTTCATGCTAAGGCTAAAAAACAGTGCTCCTATTTAAGGATGCCTCTTGGATCTCTTCCTGACTTATAATGTTGTTTAGAGGTAGGAGTAAAGATGAGAATAATTACCATAGGTTTTTATTCACTTTTTGGAACTGAGAATTTCATCTTTTTAAATTCCTGAAACAGCAGCAGTGAATAGCCCTACTATAATTAGCGTTGCTGTTATTTCCAAAGATTCACGCTTACCATAAAGAGAAGAAAGAGTTGATCACTTGCAGGTCACTTGTTCTATTGAATTATGTAACTCCCTCTTCCTTTTAAATATCTTAGCCACCTGATAAACTAGCCTTCCCTAAACTTAATGGTGACTTTATTCCAGAACACATTTCCCACCTCAGGGTTTTATACCAGCAAAATTATGAACACTGTTTCAAACAGTGAAACCACCACGTAAACACTCCTCAGCTGACTCTCCTCAGCTCACTTAGAATATGTTCCTGGAAAAAAAAAAGTCTGCTGTCAATTCAATCACTTTTTAAGTGTGCAAGGTGTGCTCCCTATTTAAAAACAACATTGAAATAAGTTGGTAAAGCCTAGACACGTGTGAAAGGTAAACAATTTTTCCTCGGTAAATGGCACTTTGTAAATATGGATTTAGGGTAGCTGATTATTTTGTAATAGAACATTCATGTGTGAAGATTAATAGTCCCTGTTGCTAAATTACCATTTTCACCGGTATCTACAATTTTTTACAAACCCCTTTTAAAAGATAAATTTTAAAATATGGATTATTTTGCTTAAGTGAAATGGTCATCTGTACTAAAGATTCTATCACACTCATGAGGCATGCCCTTGAAGGTGGTAAAAATGTGGTTGGTTGACATTCCAATAAGTTAAATAAAACAGAAATCAAAATTAACTTAGAGTGTGGCATTTGGCTCCCCTTTCAAACCTGTGTTGAATTCTGCTTTCCTAAAAATTAAAACGTATTTAGAAATTCCTCCCCTCCACAAAATCCTCTTTGGAACTAAGACAGGGACCGTGGGCTTATAGTAGGGTGACGGCCTCCAGCAAAACANTAATGCATTCTGCTATTTGCTTTGGCCTGCTAGGGGGCCCAGTTTATTTTTCTAATTTTACTCAGGTGCTGCTTTTCTTGCTCCAGCCCTAAACAAATGATTTGTTGCAACTTGGGCAATGTAGCAAGCAAGCCCAAAGCAACATAGTAAAAACAGGAGGGATTCCATCTGGAAAATAAGATTTTGCCTCTTAAAAAGTAAGTTTCTTAACAGACAATAACTCAGCCCACCTTGGGAGCAAAGCAGGCAGTCTTGAGCCATATGCTCCCAGAACAGGAAGCTGGTATTCTGGGAGGAAATCAGAGCAATAAAATTCTTGTAAAGAACCAGGAAGACTCATAAGAAACTTAATGTCTCTTCAAAGTTAAACATTTTAGGACCACTTAGCAGGTGTACATCCCTAGCCCTTTGTCTCTCAAGTGCCAATAAAACCCCTAGACAACGCACCACCCCGGACCCTCTTATCCCCTCCTGGCTTGAGCCAGGAACTCTGTCCTCTCGCTTTCTCTCTAAATAAAAGCCTCTGCCTTGCTCTCCTACCTTGAATGTTTGTGAAGTTCATTCTTCAGCTCCGCGAACAAGAACCCTCAGTATCAGAAGGACTTAATATTGTGACAGTAACAATTTGCATGCATATTTATGAATTTTTTGCAACCCTAGTCAAAACCCTGAACACCTGTTAAGAAAATTAAAAAGTTGGGTATTTAAAAAAAGGGAATCAGATTCTTTTCTTAGATCTTAAATAGGTAACGGGTCTGTAAAGAAAAAGCTTAAGGTATTAATGGAGACAACAGACTACCATTGAAATCTGAGTTGGGTATGGGACACTAATCAAAACACAATACAGAAAACAATGAAGATTAAAAGATGTGGCTACATTAACTATAAAATTAATATATCACTTAAGACAAAATACATTAAATGGTTGAAATATACATGACAAGAGTTAGTATACGTAACACTCAGATTCTCCTATAAATGAAAATGAAAAAATGTGAAAGGTCATGAGTGCTCATTTCACCAAGGAAATAAAAGTCAACAAAAAAGTTTTTTAAGAATTTCCCTCACTTGTAATCTAAAATGCAAATTAAAACAAGACACTTCATTTTGCCCATCAGATGTGTACAAATTAAGAAGATTTATGTTTATATTCTACAAAGAGGTGTGGAGAAAAGGACACTCATATTCATTGACAGGCATATAAATGGGTGACAGCCTTCTAGAGTACAATTTCTTAGTGTTAAACTATTCAAACTGCACAATTTCACTTTCAGTCTGCATGAGCTGGAAGACATGCACAAAAATTTTAATGCAACATTATTTTTAGCAACAATAAAAAGAGAAACAGCAAATGTCCATAGTAGGGAAATGCTTAAATTAATTGCTATACTCTGATAAATAGGAAAATTATAAATATCCATTTAATTGAATGCATTCTCTGACCTGTTCTGAAAACTGTCCATGATACACTGTTAAGGGCAAGAAGACAATTGCAGAAAGTTACATACTATTTTTATAGAAGAGCATGTCTATACATACATAGAAATGTAGTCATGAAATTGTTTACAAAGGTTACTTCTGGGAAGAGGGACTGGAACTTGGGGAATTAGATTCTGACTTTCATTTGATGCTTATCAATAGTGGTTTTGTTCTGTTTTTTACCATTTTTAAATTGCCAAGAAAATGTAGTTTATTTACAGATTCAGTCCATCTGAATGACTTTAATTACAAGTGTGTTGAAGTGTCAGGCAAAGACCTGTGTTAAAAAATAAGATTATGAGCTAGAATGTCCAGGTATAGTGTCAGAGTTTTGAATCTTAGGCATTTTTCCTTTCTTATAAAAATTTACAATGAGAAATAATGTGGTACTGTTTTATTCAGTTTTCATACAGTCTCAGAATTTTAAAACTTTGAAATCAAGGACAAGATGTCTGAAGTCCACCTCTGAAAGATCAGCAGAAACACAGCACATAGCACCATCATTCTTGAAGGTAGTTAGACCTTCTATTGGTTCACAAAAAGTAGTAATTTTCAAGTTATTAAAACAAGAATCTTCAATATCTGATTTCCTTTGTTAACCAGTTAATTTTCTCCTATCTTTCCACTTATGATAAAGAATTAATAACCTGTGTAATCACTATATTTACAACTCTTCTAGGTGCCAAACTTGTGCCTCTACTCCTTGGTTGGACATCTCCCTCTGGCTTTTTCCCTAACTTGCAGCAGCTCTGTGTTAATGAGTAGCATCCACCCAGGCTAGAAACCTGATGATCAACTTTGGTTTGTCCATTTACTTTGACATCCCATCCATTAATCACGACTGTCCTATTGATCCAGCCTCTTAAATTTCTTAAATCTCTCTCTTCATCCCCAGCTCCATTGCATCGACAGGCTATATACCATTTTTTGCCTTGATTGCTCTAAAGAAAGAGCTCATTTAATCTCCTTGCTATCAGCTTTGCTACCTTCACTCCAGCTTACAGATAGCCACCCACCAGTGTGTCTAAAATATATTCATGTAACATTTGTATTCCTTTGCTTTACTGTCAGATGCCTGCTGTGGCACAGGGCATTTCATCACTGGCCTCTGCCTACCAGTTTCCTGTTCTCATCTTCCAATGTGCCACCCATTCTGTATCCCTACCTTTCTCCTCTCTTGGCATTTTAAAGTCCTGTCGTACGAGACAGCTTGAAGTTGTTGAGCACTCAAGGCTGTTGTTTCATGATGTGTCAAATTATTCATGCTGTGTAATTTTCTGTGATTTAGATACCCTATTCTCTGTAAAGCCTTTCCTGACTTACTTAGGTAGCATTTCACTTCTTTTACTACATACCTAGTAGTTAAAATATAAAAATGATTTTTAAAACTTAGGTATTTATGTACCTCACCCCATTAAACTTAAAACATTCAGATCTTTGGTTACCTTTACACCTTCATGTGACCTATTAACAGTTTTAGTATAGAGTTCTTACGGAGAATTTCTTATATCAGTTGATTTTTGCAAGAATGTGGTGCAGTGTTAGTTTCCTTGCCATTGATTAAATAATTTATTGTGAGTCTTAATCTAAATCTTCACACTGACAGTAAAAATTTTAAAATCATAGAATTTGAATTTTTTTGTGAGTGGTCACTGTATTTGGGGGGTGATTATCTACATGATCAACCAGGACTGATGGTTGTTTGTGTACTTAGGGGTTTCTTCTGCAGGACAGAGGAACAGGTGTTGAGAATTTGGACAAACTCATGAAAACTAAGAACATACCTGAACCTCACCAAGATGCGTTTGAAACTGGTTTTGCACAGGTGTTCTGAAAGCCCAGGCACTAACACAGAAAAACAATGGTGAGTTGATTTGACACCATCCATACTTGGATTGAATATCTGAAAGGAACTCAGAGTCCACCTTTAAATGATTATAAATAACTTTGATAAGTTATCCAGCTTTTCATTTTCATTTCATTATCCAAAAGTTGTCATATATCCCATTGTATTTGTAACTTAAGATGTGAGGAAATGGAAATAATCTGCTGAACCTTTAATTTTCTAAGTGCTAAATCAAAGTCAAGGACAGAAGCACAAGTGGCTTCATGAAGTTTTTGGTAACGTGGCAATTATGCAAAAGAACGCCAAGTTACAAAATAGGATGTAATGAAATAGGAGTACCAGGAGTAAGCTAATTTTGCACTTCATTGAGCTGACATTTCTCATCAGTGTCTTTTGACACAGGCTTTTTCTTTTCTCCTCCAGATTCTCTAAGAAAACATTTATGGACTCTTAAAAAACCCATTTTTATCTGATAAAGGTTTTTATTTTTCTAACTTATTAGTTTAAATCTTTTAAAAACCTGTTTCTTTTTTAAAGTTAGTCTACCTAAGACTAAGAGAAAGAAAACACTAATGCTTGTGGCTCTAGGGTCTAGGCTTTTCCTTCCTAAATAAAGAATTCTCATATTGGGTCACTTTGCAGTTGTTTTTTGTTTTTTACATTGAAGAAGAAAAGTTTTAATCTGTTTTGATTGTGTACCACCTGCATTTTCAGAAGGCTTATTTTATTGACATTGCTTTACAGATTACAAGAAAAGTTCCTTCAAATACTGCACAACTTCAAGTTTTACTACTTGTTTTGAGAAAATAAATTTTGTTAAAATTCCAAGGATTATCTTAGAGGGAAAATATTAATTTCTAGTAGTGGTTAGTTTCCCAGAGTTTTAGGAAACCTGTCCAATTATAAAATTAAAAACATGTAGAAGAATTTCATAATAGCAATACAAAGGGAAATAGTTATCCATTTCAAAGACACTAATAAAGTTATTAAAATGTGTATTAAAAATTAACATACAAAATGAATCCCATATTTTCTCAGTTTGCCAGTCTAAGAAGTAATATTGTCAAGTTTAACTGGTTGCAACTGTATTTTCTATTACCACTCAGTTTTTACCCCTTGTTCTTTTTTATGACTGATTACCTTGAGAGAAAACATTGATAGAAAATTAAGAACATCGGTTGACCTAGCTCGCATTTCATCCCAGAATTTGCACATAGGCCCATATATTTTTAAGGTGGCATCACACATTATTCTTTATTTTTTTAATTGCTGTCTTGCATTAAGCAATACATAATTAAAATACAAAATGCATTGCCTATGGGTAGGTACTCTAATTTTTTATAAGATCCAACTGATTCGGCTGCAAACTTATTTGCATTGTTTATTAAGTCCATCAATACAGATAGTTTAAAAATAATTTGGTGGGCTATAACTATTAAGGTCCATTCTAGAATTACTGAATTAAATTTGCTCTCCTGACTTATAATACAATCTTGATATGTTGAAGGTTTCTTCTTAACCCTGTATTTTTGCCTACTAATTCTTTGCTTCTAAATTTCAATCTATCTTAAAGACAGTATTTTTGGCTGTCAAACTATCTTAAAGGCAATATTTTGGCTGCTTCTGAGAAAATTAGACATTGCTCAGTTTACTCATTTGCATCTGTCTAGTGTGGAAGTTTACTTGATGTTTAAGAAACATCAAAGTTTAAGAAAGCTTTGTATGGAATGTTATTCAGCCATAAGAGGAAAACAAATCCTACCATTTGCAACAACATGGATGGAGCTAGAGGATATTATGCTTAGTGAATTAAGCCAGGCAGAGAAAGACAAGTATCAAATGATTTCACTTATCTGTGGAGTATAACAACAAAGCAAAAACTGAAGGAACAAAACAGCAGCAGACTCACAGACCCCAAGAATGGACTAACCATTACCAACGGGAAAGGGACTGGGGAGGGTGGGTGGGAAGGGATGGATAAGGGGGAAAATGGGGCATTATGATGAGCACACATAATGTAAGGGGGGGTGAGACACAGAAAAGGAAGTATAAACAGAGAAGACAAGTAATGATTCTATAGCATCTTACTACGCTGATGGACAGTGACTGTAATGGGGTATATGGGGGGTACTTGAAAATGAAGGGAGTCTAGTAACCTTAATGTTGTTCAAGTAATTGTGCGTTAATGATCTCAAAATAAAAAAAAATAAAAGTAAATTAAATAAAAGACATGGTTAAATGAGAAGACAAGCCATAGACAGACAATATTGTATCATAAAGGATTTGTATCCAGAATATACAAAGGACTCTTTAAACTCAATAATAAATAAATAGAAATGGAAAAAAACAAGAAAGCTTTATAATAGTTACCCATGGTTTATCTCAAATATTTTACTACCCTACCAAACTCTTACTGTCTTTCTTATACTTAACCATGTCATTAGTGATATGTCATCTGAGGGCAACTAAAAACAGTTGTTAAAGGAATAAGGCTACATGAAAAGTGAAATAATCTGTTCAGGTGTGCCTCCTTTTTCTTTTAAATGCCAGTGCCAGTTTTTATATACTTCATAGTGTAGATCTCTAACCAGTTGTGTCAGGATAATCCAGGGTGATTGATAAAACTACCGTCTCTTCTGGGCCCTTCCCTAAATCTATGAAAGAGAAGTTCTGGGCCATGGCCTAGGAACCTGCATAAACATATTGCTAAAGTGATTTTTATGCACAATGGAATTTGAGAACCATTGGTTTAAATTTCCATTATTAGATATTATAAGGAAAAGAAACAGATAATTCTTAGTTTTAATTGGAAAGTACAAGGATGTCCTTTTAATGTGAATGATTTATTCCTTGAACGTGGTCTAGAAACACAGAAGCCCTAGTTTCTACTCCTCACTCTGATTTAATGTTTGTGAACTTAGATATTTAATTTAATTTTGGGGGACCTTCTTGCATCTGAAATGTAAGGTGGTGGGAATTTTATGAATCTGCCAAATATGTAAATGTTTCTTTTTTCCCCTTTAGTCTGTTTCTGGACAACAGCAGGGCTTGATTGTGCAGTAGGTCCTGTCTGGGTGAAAAATGTCATCTTCAAACATGTTAAAGGAGGAAGTTAAAAAGTTTCCCTTACCCTCTTCAAACATTATCTAATTGTATATGGTCAATATTTGATTCCAAAACTGTGAAATAGTAGAAGACATATATGTGGGTCTTTGCCCCCAATTCCTGTCACAGAGCTCCTAAACCCTTGCATTTTCCCAGTGGCAATAGCACTAGAAGCTTCTTTATAGTTTTACTATTTGGTCTTTGAACCTAATTCTTGACACAGGGTATCTAAATCCTTTGGAATTTCCTGGGTAATAGCAATGTTTTTTGCTCTAATGAGTGTGACTCTTGGTGGGCTTCTTGGTGGGGTCTAGTCAATACCACAAAGACCAAGCCATGATTGGAAGCTTGGAACTTTCAGCTCACTCCCTATTCTGAAGAGTGCAGACAGGCTGGAAATGGGATTAATAATCATCATGCCTGCACATGATTACTGAACACATGGTGGTGTAAGGAGAGTTAGCCTGCCTAGGGACACCTTGGAAGCTCTTCCTCTTCCCTCATACCTGGCTTTGCAAGTCTCTTTACCAAGCTTTTCCTTAGGGTAACTCCAGGGGAGAATCCCGGGGCAAAATACCTTTGAAACTGAAATCAGTCAAAGGGGGAAATAAAGTGGGAGAAAACCATTTATTGCCTACAAGCAGTCATCCACTTCTGGTCTCCCGTGTCTCTTGTGACCTGGATGCAGGAAAAAGGGATCCCACCCAACCTCTCCAGTCCAGATATGCCTCTGTTTGCCCATGTAATTACCTATGGAGATGGAGATGGAATACTTCTCTTCACCTCTTGGAAACACCTATTGATATGGACATGCACTGAAGCCAGGCAAGAGATTCTGGAAATATTGCAATTTTACCCACAGCCCACCTCTCCAGAAATCTCACCTCACAATCTACTCAATCACCATCTTCCACAATGGCCCCTGTGAGAGAAAAGTGGAGCACTGTAACCAGACTAATAACATAAAATAGCAACAGCAATAAAATAATGATAATCCTTCTGAATTTAGTTCAAAGTCCTATGCAGATTAAGTCCATAGCTCACCCATTCCACAGACAGTCAGTAGCTGAACAGGAAGGAAGTTCAGAGCAATCACCCCGCGGCAGCTGCAGAGAGTGGACAGGTCTGTACTGCAGAGAGTGGACAGGGACTCTAGAAGAAAATAAACATAGGGGGGCTAAGATACATATTTTAATGGCACCAGCATAGGCAAATCTTGCCCATCAGGTAGGATGCATGCCAGAGAGTGGTCCTGTGAAAGAACAGTGGCAGGAATGGGATCTCATCTTGGTCTAGTATACCAGACTTTCACC